TACCCTCAGGTCATACATACACTTCAGAAACCCCTCAGTTATCTCGGTAAATAACCTCAATAAATTCATTGGTTCCCCAGTAAAACGTTAATCAAACATTAGCTCGACACTAGAACCTTAAAAGGGAATAAGCATTGCTTAGCATCTCCAGAAAAGAAGTCTCACAAGATATGGAAATTTTATTTGTGAATGATATTATGTCTCATAATTATTTTTTTAAAAAGAAAATAAATATGTAAAACATGTTAAAAGAATGTGGAAATGGAGATATTTTCCAATATACACAGAAAAAATGAGAACACCTAAGCAAATGATGAAGGTCTGTTTTGGTTTGTTATGATATATAAAGGATGAGACAAAAATATTATACACATAATCTTAAATTTTCTATGGTCATAGTTTAGTCAACTAGTTTAAGGAACAAAATAAATATCTAGACAAGGTTTATCTGAGAATATTTGGTTTTTTTACCCAAGTCTTATAGAACATGATAATTAAAAGAACCAGACTGGTGGAACTAAACTTATTGGATCTTCAACAGCTATACTTTGAGGCCTATATTAATGCGGTCAGAGGGATTTAAAGGACAGTTTTTGCCCCTTGTCCTCCAAGGTTGACTAAGTTCCAGGGGACTATGGAACATCTCTCAAAATGTCCTGTAACTATGATGAGTCACCTGTCCTCTTGTTCAGGGAGGCCATGGAGACCCCATGAGATGGACTTGAACCAGTGTCCAGTCTACAAAGATGAGGGTCAACTCAGAGGAAACATCTCATTCATGCTTCCAACTGAAGCCAGATATGGTTGAGCAGGACCTTTGACTTTTTACATAGATGGAACTGGTAAAAGAAAGGAGCCAGGAGCTCCTCCCAAGTCCACATGACCCCTGAGGAACAGAGCCTCAAATAACCTTAAGTGTAAAAATAAATTGATTTATTTGGGCCAACTGTATGGTCTTAAATACCCAAAAGGAAAGTATAACCAAAGAGTATAGTCATCAGTATATTTCTTTAAGACTTCAAGGGATTACATTTCCTAGACATTAGGCTTGAGTCTATATAAAAAGTTATTTAGACAATTATTTCTCATTGATGATTTTGTTCCTAACCAGAAAGTGCTGCTCAGATGTAAGACTTCAAATTTTGGTCTCCACTACTGTAGCACCCACCTGTAGCTAAGGGAGACAACCAGCTTTTGTTCTAAAATGATGGATAAATTTTTCTCTTCCTATCTAGAAGCCTTTGAGAGGAAACTGACACTTATTCTAACCACTCCAACAGCTATCAAAATACTTGAAAGCAAATCTTGAATCCATCACTCTAGAGCCCAGCCTTAGAAGACAAAAGAAAATTGAGGAGGAACCCAACAGAGGGATGTTTTTGGAAGCCCTCATCAAGAAATTCCAATGAACTCTCATACGAACATTTGAAAATTGCCCTGTTCTTTTTTCTAGTTCCCTGTCTAGAACTTGTAATGCTGATTACTCTTGCCTTTACTTCTCCTTCACATCTTCTAGTCACGATTCAAGGACTTTCTTTTCCCCCTAGAGATAAGAGGCAATTTGGGAGTCTTTTAGATAGCCCCACTGAAGGGGTGCCCCAATTGCCTCACCCTACATCCCTGTTCAGCATGAAAGAAGCCAGAGCAGTCTGCATCCTGATTCCATATCTGCAAGCTGGGTAACCTCTTCAGAGGATGGTGGATAAGAATAGGAGGTAGGAATTGGCTAGGGAGTTAGGGTAAAAAGACTCCAAAGAAAAGTAGCCAGTTTCTTGGCTAAAACTCACAATGTCCTTGGGCCTCTTAGCAACGTACTCTGTTTCAAAGGCCAAAAATGTCAAAAATATTTGGGAGCTTTTATCTAATCCTTAAAAGATTTCAGGGGAAGCTGGGCATGGTAGCACACGCCTTTAATCCCAGCACTCAGGAGGCAGAGGCAGGCGGATCTGAGAGCACATGAAGTTATCAGAAAAAAAGTGATGGGGAGATATGGGAGGAGTTGGAGGGGAGGGAGTGGGCATGGATTTGATCAAAACACCTTATATGCATGTATGAAATTCTCAATAAATTATTTATTAAAAGAAAAAGACAAACTGTGTGCTATGTAGCACTATGTGTAGATATGGTATTAAACAATGTACTAGGAAGTGTCTATAGACAGAGCAAAGTCCTGTTATGGCTAGTCTTTCAAGTGGTTCTCTGAGGTTTATGGAGAACTACTATATGGGTTATGTCTCCTGTTGCCATGGCAAAATATCCACAAAACCAACTATAAGAAGGAAGGTTTACTTTGACTCGTGGCTTAAGGAACAATCCATCATGGTGGAGGATTGTGAGGTAGCTAGTCACATCACATCACATCCACAGTCAGGAAGCAGAGAGATGAATGCTGGTGCTCAGCTCATTTTCTCCACTTTATTCAGTCCAAGATCCCAGCAGATGGGATGGTGCTGCCCACATTCAGGGTAGATTTTCCAACTTTACCTAACCCATGTAGAAACTCACTCACAGACATGCCCAGAGGTGTGTCTGTCACCAATTAACCACTGAACCTTCTCTCCAGTCCCCAGTCCGTTGAACATCTGAGAATTTTTGTTATAGATCTGTACACCTTACATGCCTTTGTCCACCTGTGCTATGATCTGCACTATAGGTAAGAATTTACTGGGTCAGGCCAAGCTGATTATGGTGATTTGAATAAGACCATGTCTCCCACAGGTTCAAGTGTGGAACACTTGGCTCCAGTTGTTGGCACTATCTGTGGAGGTTTAGGAAGTGTGGCTTTGCTGGAAGAAGCATGTTACTGGGGTGTGGGCTTTGGGCATTCATATCCTTTGCCCCCTTTCTGCTTCCTTTGTTTCTCTGAAGATGTGAGCAGTCAGCTTCATGCTCCACCTGCCTCTTGCCATGTCACGTCCATCCCCTACCCCATGATGGACTCTTATCCCTCTGAAAGCATAAGCCTCCAAAACACTTCCTTCTATAAGTGTTTTACCACAGCAAAAGAAAAGTAACCAATGCACAGCCTGGAAAATACACTCTCCAATCTGTCTAGCTTCCTGTAGGTTGTGCCATGTGCTCTAGGTTTCCTGCTTTCATGAGCTGTCATTCATGCTGGGGTGGACTTTGGTGATACAGCTGTCTGTGAGTCATTTCTACTTCTGTAAGTAACTCCACACCCACACTGCTGTAAGAGACCCTAATAAACTCATTGGTTCACCAAGTTGTGGAATATATA